ATCCAATAGACTACAGCATTATTATTTGTTAAGGAAAAAAAATCTAAGGTCAGATGTCAAGCACTAGTTAATTTCCGGAACCTTTTTGAAGTATATGGTATAAAGATAGCTCTTGGGGGAGTGACAAACAAAAAGGGCCATGGATATTATTATTTTTTTGAATCCAAAAGAGCCACGGATAAATACAAAACATATTTGTGTGTTTTTTTCAGAATCACAAAACCATATTTGTGGGGGATACTATTTGGCTACCGGGCCAGCCATCAGGAGCCCACTTAAGTCACACGTCCAAAAAAGAGGCCCATGCCAGAACACCAAAAATAGGCCCATGCCGTTGCTGCAGGCTGCAGCGCAGCGCTCAGGTTTTGTTTAGTACCACACCGATGACACAGGAAGATTAGAGCACGATAGCTGGCTATATTATGATGTGTACGTGCTTCATTGCAACATACTTACCTGGATGGGGTCAACAAGCGATCAAGAAGGCTCGTGGCCTAGATCAATGGCTCACATTGCACTTGGTGAGAGTGTTGGTCTACCATCTCCCAATTGGGAGAGTGGACATCGTAATTTGTGGTAGAGGGGGTACGCGTTCGCGCGGCCCCTGCCAATTTAAAAAAATAAATTTTGGTCATCTTATTTTTGTGATGCGCAAGCTTTGTATTTTACCTGTGGCATTGTTCACTATCTGACATGAGGTAATATGAAACTTCGATTTCCAGTTTCCATCACTTCAGAGAAGAGAACAAGAAACAGAGAGCGGCCAGGACAAGAAGACCAAGGCACATCATTCGCAACGTGTCGTCACTTGTCAGTGACCATGGCTGTTGATCCAGACAGACAGAGTATCTTTCTTATGCTCATATTTAATCCTTGATTCTGGAAGGGTCAGAGATTAACGATGAGTCACACACACTGTTGTCAAGTAAAAAGAGTAGTCGACAAAGGTAAAGCTAAGTCATTTCTGTTGTTTTCATTGACGAGGCATGGCAGCTAGCTTATCATACTTATCAGTTATTAGACGGGAGCTTGGGTCCTGGGCTCCTGGCAACACTTGTTTTTATCACCGGAAGGGTCAAGGAATGCCTCTCTTTTTTAATGTGGGAAGGGCCAAAAACATTCTGAAGAAGCTGGGGCTGAAACTTTCATGTAAGTGATTGGAATAGTGTAATCGAAATCAGGTGTAGAAAATTTCTAAAACCAATTAATTAGAGCATCATTGGGAAAGAAAATAGAACATGTCCAGTGCCCAACACTAGTCAAAGCCGGTCTCTGGCCCCCTTTGGTAGCCAGATTCAGATACCCAGAGCCTTAGGGGGCAATGGCTCAATCTGATGAATAGTCATTGGCAACTCTTGGCGACACGGGAAAGGGGAATGGCGAATATTTAAACCTGAAAGTTCGTTTTGATAACAGGCGTACTCACAAAAAATAAGTATTCTGGCAACATCTCATTATTCCATTATTGTACTACGGTTTCAGAGAATTCACTTTACTGTCGGCAAAAAAGAATAACCATAAGAATTGAAGTGCTAAGCGCTAAAGAAGATCTCCATGACACACGAGGTCGCTAAATATCTGACGCCACGTGCATCAAAGGTTGGCTGCGACTATGGAAAAACAAAGGTGACAAAGGAGAAACAAAGGCTTTCATGCCCGCTTTCGGACAAAAGTTCAGGGTAGATCTGGACAAAAACAAAAATAATAAATTTTAGATATTCATTTATGAGCTCTTGATTTTACTATGTTAAATTTCCTTGGCCATTTCATTCATGTGTAATACTCCTATGTTTTACGGTGGTGCAGAAGCATTTGGCTAAGTCAGTACTCAGCCACTTACCGGGGTTGTTGATCTAGTAGCACATATTTCTTCTACCCTTTTCTGTGTTGATAATTTGACATGCCGCTTCTTTGATTCTTGAAGGGGCAGAGATTGGCACGCACTATCATAAAGTAAAGCGGGTTAGCCGGAAAAGCTAAAGCTTATTGTACTTACCTATGGAGAGCTTAGGTCCAGGCTACATTTGTTTTGAAGGGGGGTGGGCCAAAAACATTCTGAAGAAACAGGGGATGGATGAAACTTGTCAATGATTGGAGTTAAGTAATCGAAAGTAGGCGTTGGAATTTGGTAAAACCAACTGGCCAGAGCATTACTGGGGAAAGAAAACGGAACATGCCCAATGCCAAACCCTGATCAAAACCATTTTCTGGCCCCTTGCAGATTCAGATATCCCATACATTTAGTTACTCCGCGGAGGCAAATAGGGAAGTGGCTCAATCTGATGAACAACCGTCAGTAACAATTATCCTGACAACACTTCCCTCACGATTTTTATAGTTTCACAGTTTCATACCCCCACCAAAAGAAATGACTTTCTCGTTAGGTTGGAGTGGTAAGAAGTAAGCGGGCAACCAGAGAACATCCCCTGAGACCTGAAATTGCCAAATATCTCGCGCCGTTCGCTAGAAATTCAGAGGTTACCTGCAACTATTCTGGGCCGTTCGCTAGAAATTCAGTTAGAAAATAGCTCACAACTCTGCTACTACCATGTCGCTTTCAGTCCCTCTGTTCTTTGATTCCGGAAGGGGCAGGAAGGCGTCCATGATGATGGCGATGAGTCACACGTTGCCGACGAGCAAGGAATCGGCAAGCGGCAGCAAGCTATTGTCAGCCATATCCTTGTTCGTGCCATGTGTCTGATCGATGCCTAGCATGAGAGTTGAGAGCCCAGGTCACCTCACCGTCAGGTGTTTGTTTATCAGATGAAGCCTGGATCCACATGGCTTATCAACAGATAAATTAAAGAACTTTACATCACTTGTTTCTTCTTCTTCTCTGTGAGTACTGAGGCAAACAAAAAGAGCCACATATAACCTTTTTTTTGAGCATATAAACATATTTGCGGGGATATTATTCAGCTACCGGGCCAGCCATCAGGAGCCCACTTCTAAGTTGCAAATTCGAAAAAAACAGGCCCATGCCGTTGCTGCAGGCTGCGCTGAGGTTTTGTTTAGTACCACATCGATGACACAAGAAGATTAGAGCACGAGAGCTGGCTATATTAGGATGACTAGGTGCTTCCTTGAAACATATTTACCTGGACGGGGTCAACGGGCGATCAAAAAGGCTCGTGGCCTAGATCAGTGGCTCACATTGCACTTGGTGAATGTGTTGGTCTACCATCTCCTCAAATGGGAGAGTGGACGTCGTAATTTGTGATAGAGGGGGTACGCGTTCGCACGGCCCCTGCCTAAACAATAACAATAAATTTTATGGGTCAAAAAATAACAATAAATTTTAGCCATTTCTTTCATTCACTTGGTATTTTTTGGGTTGATCACCATCATCTTTCATTCACATTGATTTTACCATTTTCCTTGTAATAGTATGTGTTGTGGTGCAGAAGCATTTTGGCTAAGTCAGTACAAGGATGGAAATGTGCAACTTTTGGTTTTCGTCACCAGAATCAAAAAGCGACAGGGTAGTTGAAAAAAAGATAATCTGTTGTCTGGATCTGCAGATTAATTGCTTTGATTTCGGAAGGGGCATAAATGATGATGGTGACGAGTCACAGGTTTACCTGACGGAAGGGAGTCTGGATCGACATCTGTTTTGTGATCTCTCACTCTGATGAGGGTGCCAACTGTGAACGAACACTAGGCAAAATCGTTTCCGGACCCCATTTTGGAGTATATAGCTCTTGGGGGCAGTGGCAAACAAAGAGGGCTACATACAAAAGCATGTGGCTTGGTGTCCGGACGGACCAATTGTATGCATCTGTAATTTCTTTCTTGACAACTTGCATGCACATGTTGGCAACAGTTGTACAAAATGGAAAAGGTGACCAATTAGACCTGAAGTAATTTCCCGCAAAAAAAACTGAAGAAATTTTGATAGAACTTTGGAAGATCTGAATCCATGGGAATTCTCCCTGTTTAGATTGTTTAAGTCGTGGGATTGGATCCTTGGGGAATATTTCTCAAGGACTCGTTTGCACTACATTAGTACATCTGAATGCAGAAATCCGATTTGGCTCTTTGGAGCATACGCTGGCGTCAAAAATGTTTTTTCGCAAAAGTCGAATGCCTTTTGAAAATTTTTAGATGCTTCTATTGTCACACCCAAATGCTATCTGCAAATTTTAGCTGGAAAAGCTTAAGCATTCTGACATGTGTGGAAAAAACAAGTCGAATGCCAAATGTTACACTTAATTTTGTTTTTCACCGGTGAAGCATTGCTATCTCGTTTCACTTGAAAATTTTCAAGCACGCTTGTTACACTAACATGAACATCTACAAAAATAAAATCAAAATGAACTTACTTTTTTTTTGAATTTATGGTTTATCCAAAGCCAAAACGGCCATCTCAATGGAATAAATTCGATTGACTCAAACCTCTTGGATTTTTTTCTCAATCAAAGACACTTTAGGACAAATTCAATCTTGTAGGATTGGAGTGTGCATCGGAATCATTTGTTTTCATTTATATTTCCATGTTCACAAAATCTTGTAAAAAAGCCATAGTAGTCAACAGTGCACAACATTCTAATATACATTTTTCTTATTAATTGCATATGTTTTATAAATCATGCGAATCAAACAGACGTTGAAAGTTCTCCACAACATTGTTTTTACACTTTCACGACATAAACCTCTTTTCCGTAAAAAAAAAACTTCTTAATCTGCTCATGCTTAGCAATACATAATGAGTAGATCTGATTTTTTTAGGCAAATTAGTAGAACTGATGACAAACATTACTAATACTACTCGGCTACCGGGCCAGCCATAGGGAGCCCACCCCTAAATTACAAGTCCACCCAAAATAGGCCCATGCCTGACCTGAACACCCCATAGCTGCAGGCGCTCAGGTTCTTTTAGTACCACATCGCCACCATAGGGAGATTAGAGTGGAAGAGCTGGCTATATTATGATGGCTAGGTGCTTCATTGCAAGATACTTACCTGGATGGGGTCAACGGGTGATCAAGAAGGCTCGTGGCCTAGATCAATGGCTCACATTGCACCTGGTGAGTGCGTTGGCCTACCATCTCCCCAAGTGGGAGAGTGGACGTCGTAATTTGCGATAGAGGGGGTACGCGTTCGTGCGGCCCCTGCCAATTTTCAAAACAAAAAGTTAAAAGTTTGGCTTTATTTGAAATATGCATTTGTAAGAAGTTAAATTTTGGTTTTTTAATTGAAAGAAGCATTTTCTGTGAAACTTGGCAGACTGCAATTTCCACCATATATGTATTTAGAGAAGAAACAATGTTGATCCAGGAATGGCTCTATTTTTCAAAGGTGAAGGGCCAAAAGCATACTGAAGTAGGGGCTGAAACTTTCTTGTCATTGATTGGAATAGTGTAATTGAGATCAGGCGCAGAAACTTTCTCAAACCAATTAGTTAGAGCATTATTGGGAAAGAAAACAGAACATGTCCTGTGCCAAACACTGGTCAAAGCCAATTTCTGGCCCCTTTGGTAGCCAGATTCAGATATTCCATGCTTCAGCCTACGTAGGCATAAAGCAAAATGGCTCAATCTGATGAACAGTTGGCTACGCCTCTTGGCAATACGGAAAAGAGGAAATGAAGAATAATCAAACATGAAAGCATGGTTCCAACAGCAAGAGTACTGAAATAAATAAATGTTCTGACAGTATTTCAGTCGTGTCATCTGCAGATTTGTAATTGCAAGTTGAATGACCGAGGAGCTCTGAAGTTCCCCAAGAGAAGAACATATAAAGTGCTGCGGCATCGGCATCGCCGCATCCGCGGGCGATCTTGGCCAGCAATTTGCTCACAATGTAGACCACAGTGAACCATGAAGATTATCCAGTCGACAAAAGAAAACACGCTGATGTAGTAGGTGCATAATGGGTCCAGAATGTGAGACTTCTAAATAAAGTGATAACGTGGGATTCGACAGAACGGGTAAACTGGATACATGAAACTGAACATCTGACAGAGTAGTCCACTCTCTAGCATGATCAAACTGGCATCTACTCACTCTGATGAGCAGACATATGCTAAGACCATACACAAGCCATATACACGGACAAGTAATATGTGGTTGAAGTTTTGGTTGGTTGCATAGGCTGATAGGAAGTTACTGCTGAAGGCCTGCTCGGAGAGAGACCTGAAGTGGCGACTCTCTCAGTGGCGCTGAAGGAAGTCGACCATCGGCCCATATACGAGTTGCGGAGCATTATATCCTATCATGAAATCAGCGTGGGCGTAGTCGGGCACGTACAGTACCTCCATGTTGTCGCTGTCATGGGTTCTGACAAGAGTCTTCAGGAGGTGCCTGGTGTCAGGGACATCGCCGAGGAAGTCTTGGCCGCCATGGGTGAGGAACATGGGGACATGGGTGGGGATGGATGAGAGGTTGTACAGCGGGGGGCTTGGCTGGCTATAATGCTTCATGTTTTCCTTGGCGTTGCCATAGTCATACCTTCTGACCCCTTCGTACCTGATCACTAATTGCAGGCAAACCAGGAGAAGAAAGTTAGTGCGGCTCCTGAGATTTGAACAATAGAAAGCTTTTTTAAGCTTTTGATTGTGATCCTTACTCTGCGACATGTGAATAAGGTTCTTGATAGAGGTGGACTGTGTAGCATGCTGCAGGAAGTTACATACAGTTGAAGCATTGAGGCAGCAGTCCGGTCCTTCAACCATCAGGCAACTAAAGTTAGTGATATAAGGTCAATTTTAGCTTAACATCACGTCTTAGCTTAGCATCATATATTTCTTGGAATATGGAGGATTTTATGCAAGAAATATACCCATAACAGCCGTAAATAGGTCGTAGCAGTCGATTTCAGGGTCACCGCATATTATGAGCAGAATTTCATGTGAAACTGGCCTGACATGCAGCAGCACATTTGTACTTGTCAATAGAGCACAACAGAATGGACACTGGTTACCCAAGAGTACCAGTACACAACGCAACTTCAGATTTTCAATAGATGAATGGCAAGTCTCGAAGTGGTGACTCTTGGCAACATTGATATCACAACGAGATTCATAGTTGTGTGCAAGGACAACCTTGTAGAAAAGCTTAAGCATGTGCACCTCTACTCATGATCAATAAGTTGCCGCAAGATGCAAAACTACAAGCAGGAACTTGGTAATCGAGCGCATATACTGCATTTTCTTAACATTAGAAGTTGTAGTAAAGATACCTACCCAACAGGATTGAACTCACGATATCCTAGAAAGTGAAATGCCTGCGCAAGACAAACCAAAGAAAATAAACCATTCGCCATGTAAATTATACATGTGGTAGTTGATAATAAGAACAAGTATGATGAACAGTTTTTACTTCTGCAAGGAGGATTTGAGTAGCAAGCCGGGTGAGTTTTGATTTTGTCTTATACAGATAAGCAATTGGGCAGAGCAACACAGCCGATCGAACTAAATGAAGTAACCTGTGCTCTGAGAAGGCTGCAAGAATAATCAAGGTTCCCTGGAAATGAAGTAAAAGTTGCTTCAGTATACCTCTCAAGTTCCAAAACTGAACTCATCGAAATCTTCAACAGGGATATCTCAGCTCACCAGGGAGTGACCGATATAGTGGACTTTCTGGCCTCCTGTGTGATCATAGACATGCTGAAGCACGGCAGGAAGATCATAGGCAGCAAGTTGGTCCCACGTCCAATTCCAGTACTCCTGAAAATATTAGTCGATACTTTGTTAGTGAAAATCCAAGGAAAAATGTATTCTTGACCAGGCTTGAGATGAAAACCGGATCATCTGGGGTGAGCGAGGTATGGTTCCGACTGGAATTAGTTCCACGGGTGTTGGCAAACCAAACATCAAACCCACCATCTGCCAAAATAAATCCAAGTGATTGTTTTGGCGTACCCAGTACCCAAGAAACGCTATCCTGTCCAATACACACATATTTCATTTAGGTATGGATGGAACTCAGTGGCAGAAAGTTTGTCAACAATATCCTTACCACCATGAGCCCGTGGAATAGTAGTACTGGTATCCTCGTTGTATTCTGGGTCGAGTTAGAAACACCATGAGGAATCCTCTTTAGGCTAAGAATATAACCATCTTCTGTTGTGACCTGCCATAGATTTAGGCTGTATGCTTTACAAAAGGCCAGAATTGTCTTATGGAAGCATAACATTGCAGTTTAAAACAATGTCTAGGAGTACATTCATAAGAGCTCACATACCATGTGATCTTCACATGGATAGCCAAAAGCTGCTGCTCTTGTCTTGCACAGACCAAACGGATGGGAAGAAGGTTCACAACGTGGACCAACATCATCCAGAGAACTATTGTTCCTCCATGAGTGAGCTGTGCATGAGTTAAAGACAAGCGAAAGAATCAACAAACTAACTACAAATAAATTCCTGGCCATCAGATGATGTAGAATCATATGTTACTATGATTCTGATAGTTTCTGCAAGTGGTACAATTTTCGCGGAAGAGCAAGAACAGTGTTGACACAAATTGCAGCCTCTCTTTTCAGAGAACAGCACTGCTTTTGCGTCTCTGCCTCGCTGGTGTATTGGCATAAATACTGGAGGAACGGTCTCCAAATAAGAAACGGTGTCCTGTCTTGAACCGTAACTTACTGGATCCTTATTCTGTCAAAAAGTGTAGATTGCACGTGCATAAGCGAGGTAGCTGAGTAAGTAAAACAGAAGAACGACTGACATAAAAGGTAAAGTCAATCATGCCATCTTGATGATCAGATATGAAGATCCCTATGGTTCACTTCACGCCAATAGTGTGATCCCAAAGTCTGTTTGACTACTAAGAATGCTTGAGAAGGAAAGACAACCTTCTTTTTGAAGCACCAGCAGCATGTACCCGGACCGATGATTCATTTCTGAAGATGGATTCAGATACAACGGCATTCATCAGTTCGCCAAGAAAAATGAAAGATTGACGACATAACCTCAGACCGTTCCGAGATAGAAATGCTTACCGACAGATCGGAGCGCATACACCTACAGAAGCATTTGCACGAACACATTGCAAGCGTCTGCCGCCGAGACGAGGAGGATGCCCCGCTGGTTGCCTGGTTCCCTCCACCTCAAATGATGCTCCCGTACGACCATGCCTGCCGTGAGCGGGGGGCATCCGACAGTGTGGACGCCGTCGGCGGCTGGCCGGCCTTGGTCGCGGACGCCGGGGCTAGGCGTAGGCGGCAAGCGGGACTGGCCTGCGATGAACGAGCCTGCAACCAAAATCGTGGGATTGTGAGAGCGGTTTTGGGGAACCGGAGCTCCTAAGAACTAATTTTAAAACTTGGGTCTTGGCGAAAACAGTAAAGCTTTACCAAAAGTGTAAAAAATCCGCAAAAAAAATCATTTATGATTTTCGCACATGTCACACTGCCATATTATTTTTATGAAAAAAAATACTCCCCTTGTAAACTAATATAAGAGCATTTAGATCACTATAAAGTAGTGATCTAAATGCTTTTATATTTGTTTACGGAGTGAGTACAAGGCTAAGTTTATGTCCAATACCCTCTCTGTTTCAAAATAATTGAAGTTATAGATTTGCCCTAAGTCAAACTTCATCTACAACACCAATTTTGCTTCATTAGATGCATTATGAAACATATTTTCATATTATATATTTTTAAGTTGCAGATCTTTGTAGATATTTTTATAGACTTGGTCAAAAAGAATAATCACGGTCGGCCGGGGGAAGGGGACCCCCCTCCCCAGCCATATACACACTAGCCCATAGCACACAGATTATGAAAAAAAAATCCCAGCAAGCCACATACTATTACTAATATTAATAGGCCCAAAGTTTAGTTTTGCCCTGGGCCCCTAAAATCTCAGGACCGGCCCCGAGGATTATTATAAATCTTCATTATTTTGGAACAAATGAAGTACCTGCCTACATGAATTTTTTTAAACATAAAAGTATGAATTTTGCTAAGTTTTAGGGAACACATTTTTAAGTTAAATAGGTGAATCATCTACAGAAGATAGTTGCTATTTTTGAAAGCAAGTGGGGAGAGAGCCGATCGTATCAAGTAGACACTGCAATTTTGATTGTGATGCTTTTGGCAAGCACACTAATCTTCTGAAGTCTTCATCCCCTTTTCTTTGGCAAGAGTTGCTCAAGTGCTACGCGGGAAGAGATCACTAGATCAGGGTGATTTTGGAGATTCAAATGGATATTTGGGCATGCCTTCAAAGTTAGAAAAAAGGCAATATCACATGCCTCGGTGATTGTGTTTGGAAAAACGTTCTAGGAAGGATGTAGCACTCTTTGTTGGTCAAGGGAAAACATTTAGCTGCATAAGTCATACCTACTTATTGTATGGCTTATTTGAAACTTATCCACGGAATCTGCCAGCATATACATTCGCTATTGAGGAATGTGAGTGGCAAGAATGATGATGACAACACTGAAGGCAATGTAGGGGTCTAGGGTTTCAGGGCATGGAGATATTCAGCCTAACCTTACTATTGCACTAGCCCATATTGACGGAAAATATGCATCATAGGAGGCTCATCCTTCCCAAATCTGGCAAGCCTTGTCTGAAGGGAAGGAGGTGCTCAAACAGGGATTAATTCGAAGAACCAAAATAGGTTGTCATACTTACATATGCGAGGATAATTGGATCCTAGAGACCATCAGCTAAGACTGGTGTGCACATGGTCGACAATTGAGTGCAATCAGATGCGAAGTCATAGAGCACATGCAATACACTACCTTTTTCTATCATCAAGAGCATAACAGAGATTCCATAGATGGGGAGAAGACCACGTGTGCATTAGTAGGGCTAAGCGACAAGCTGAAATTGTGGGGAAAGATGACACCACCCTGCCTTCTTGCAAGTTTGTGATGAGGGAGGAGACGTCAGGCTATGAAAAAACTAATGGAGACGGGGTAGTCTTATCTTCTATATTAATACAAAGTTCATAGGAAGATTTCGTGCTAGAGTGGAGGCGAAGCCATATGGTTGTTACTTTTTCGTCATTCTTGAGTGCATGTGGGACAAAGTTTTTCATCGTCATTATAGTGCATCGCCATCCTTCTTTTCCTAGAACCATGCATAGGAGACACAAAAGATGGAAAAGATCCCGAACACAATGTCTCAATAGTGATGCTGCCAAACGATGAGCAAAAAGGGAAAGGAAGACAAAGAGTTGTCTACTTGCAAGTTGAAGATACAGAGAGGTGAAGAAAATATGCCCTGGAGGCAATAATAAAGTTGTTATTTTATATTTCCCTATTCATGATAAAGGTTTATTATTCATGCTAGAATTGTATTAATCGAAAACTTAAATACATATGTAAATACATAAACAAATACTGTGTCCCTAGTGAGCCTCTACTTGACTAGCTCGTTGATTAAAGATGGTTAAGGTTTCCTAACCATAGACATGTATTGTCACTTGATACGGGATCACATCATTAGGAGAATATTGTGATGGACAAAACTCATCCGTTAGCTTAGCATTCGATCGTTCACTTTATTGCTATTGCTTTCTTATTGCCAAATACATATTTCTTTGACTATGAGATTATGTAACTCCCGGATCCCGAAGGAATACCTTGTGTGCTATCAAACATCACAACGTAACTGGATGATCATAAAGATGCTCTACAGGTATCTTCGAAGGTGTTTGTTGAGTTGGCATAGATCAAGATTAGGATTTGTCACTCTGTGAATCAGAGAGGTATCTCTGGGCCCTCTGCGTAATACACATCATAAGAAGCCCTGCAAGCAAAATGACTAAGGAGTTAGTTACAAGATGGTGTATTATGTAATGAGTAAAGAGACTTGCCGGTAACGAGATTTAACTAGGTATGAAGATATCGATGATCGAATCTCAGGCAAGTAACATACCAACAGACAAAGGGAATTATGTATGTTGTCATAAGGTTCGACTGATAGAGATCTTCATAGAATATGTATGAGCCAATATGGGCATCCAGGTTCCGCTATTGGTTATTGACCAGAGAGGTGTCGCGGTCATGTCTACATAGTTCTTGAATCCGTAGGGTCCGCACGATTAACGTTTGTTGACGATATAGTGTTACATGAGTTATATGTTTTGGTGACTGAATGTTGTTCGGAGTCCCGGATGAGATTACTGACATGACGAGGAGCTCCAGAATAGTCCAGAGGTAGAGATTGATATATAGGACGATACTATTCGGACACCGGAAGAGTTTCGGAGTGCACCGGGTAGTCATCGGATCGCCGGAAGGGGTTCCGAACACCCCCGGGAGGTCTATTGGCCTAATGGGCCAAGGGAGAGACACATCATCCCACAAGGGGGCTGGTGCGCCCCTCTCCCTGGCCGGCCTGCCTTAGGAGAAGGAAAGGGGAGGGTTGGCCCCTCCCGCCTTTCCTCATATGAGAAAGGAAAGGGGGAGGGGCGCCACCTACCCCTGCCTTCCTCCCGCACACATACATGGCAGGGGGGCGCGGCTAGGGGCAGGAGCCCAAGTGGGATTCAGCCCCACTTGGGGTGCCTCCTGGCTGCCTTCCTTCTCCCCCACCTATATATATGTGGGAGGGGGCGCCACACATAGACCACGACAATCTCTTAGCCGTGTGCCCCCCTCCATTGTTTCGTTCCTGGTCATATTTTCGTAGTGCTTAGGCGAAGCCCTGCGGAGATAGCATGACCACCGCCGTCACCACGCCCTTGTGCTGCCGGAACTCATCCATCACTTCACCGTCTTGCTGGATCAAGAAGGCTAGGACGTCACCGAGCTGAACGTGTACTAAACGCGGAGGTTGAAGGAAATATGCCCTGGAGGCAATAATAAAGTTATTATTTATTTCCTTATATCATGATAAATGTTTATTATTCATGCTAGAATTGTATTAACCGGAAACGTGATACATGTGTGAATACATAGACAAATAGAGCGTCACTAGTATGCCTCTACTTGACTAGCACGTTAATCAAAGATGGTTATGTTTCCTAGCCATAGACAAAGAGTTGTCATTTGATTAACAGGATCACATTATTAGGAGAATGATGTGATTGACTTGACCCATTCCGTTAGCTTAGCACTTGATCGTTTAAGTTTGTTGCTATTGCTTTCTTCATGACTTATACATGTTCCTGTGACTATGAGATTATGCAACTCCCGTTTACCGGAGGAACACTTTGTGTGCTACCAAACGTCACAACGTAACTGGATGATTATAAATGTGCTCTATAGGTGTCTCCGAAGGTACTTGTTAGGTTGGCGTATTTCGAGATTAGGATTTGTCACTCCGATTGTCGGAGAGGTATCTCTGGGCCCACTCGGTAATACACATCACTTAAGCCTTGCAAGGATTACAACTAATGAGTTAGTTGTGGGATGATGTGTTACGGAACGAGTAAAGAGACTTGCCGATAACGAGATTGAACTAGGTATTGAGATACCGACGATCGAATCTCGGGCAAGTAACATACCGATGACAAAAGGAACAACGTATGTTGTTATGCGGTTTGACCGATAAAAGATCTTCGTAGAATATGTAGGAGCCAATACGAGCATCCAGGTTCCGCTATTGGTTATTGACCGGAGACGTGTCTCGGTCATGTCTACATAGTTCTCGAACCCGTAGGGTCCGCACGCTTAACATTCGAGTTTATGTGTTTTGATGTACCGAAGGTAGTTCAGAGTCCCGGATGTGATCACGGACATGACGAGGAGTCTCGAAATGGTCGAGACATGAAGATTGATATATTGGACAACTATATTCGGACACCGGAATGGTTTCGGGGGTTAACGGATATATACCGGAGTACTGGGGGGTTGCCGGAACCCCCGGGGGTTATTGGGCCTCATGGGCCCAAAGTGGTGGAAGAGGAGAGGCAGCAGGAGGTGGCGCGCGGCCCCCCTTGCCCCAATCCGAATTGGGAAAGGGAAGGGGGCGGCGACCCCCCTTCTCCTTCCTTCTCCCTTCTCTCCACCTCCTCCTTCCCCCTTCTCCTAGTTGGAATAGGAAAGGGGGGCAAAACCTACTTGGAGTAGGATTGCCCCCCCTTGGGCGCGCCTCCTCCTCTTGGCCGGCCCCCTCCTCCTCCCCCCTTTATATACGGAGGAGGGGGCACCCCATAGACACAACAATTGATTTCTTGGATCTTTTAGCCGTGTGCGGTGCCCCCCTACACCATAATCCACCTCGGTCATATCATAGCAGTGCTTAGGCGAAGCCCTGCGTCGGTAGAAAATCATCATCGTCATCACGCCGTCGTGCTGACAGAACTCTCCCTCAAAGCTCGGCTGGATCGGAGTTCGAGGGATGTCATCGAGTTGAACGTGTGCAGAACTCGGAGGTGCCGTGCGTTCGGTGCTTGATCGGTCGAATCGTGAAGACGTACGACTACATCAACCGCGTTGTGCTAACGCTTCCGCTTTCGGTCTACGAGGGTACGTGGACATACTCTCCCCTCTCGTTGCTATGCATCACCATGATCTTGCGTGTGCATAGAATTTTTTTTGAAATTACTACGTTCCCCAACAGAGGTGCCGTACGTTTGATACTCGATCGGTTGGATCGCGAAGAAGTTTGACTACATCAACCGCGTTAATAAACGCTTCTGCTTACGGTCTACAAGGGTATATAGACACATTCTCCCCTCTCGTTGCTATGCATCTTCATGGATAGATCTTGCGTGTGCGTAGAATATATTTTTTTTGTTTTCCATGCAACATTTCCCAACAAGAGGGACACTTGGTTTGGTCGAAGGAAACCAGAATGAGACATGAGAAGGATGCCACTTTTTGTGGCAATGTGCTTGGAAACTACAAACATTATTTGTGTTTACAAAACAAATAATTTTTTGATCAATCTAATTTCACCATACATTTCTTTCTTATGTCGTACAAGCAAACATTTACCTTATAATTAGAAACAGAAAGAGATTTGACAAAAAGTCAAATAACTGGTCTTGCAAACTTCAGATCCAGCGTAGGAGGTCTCCTAGATAGTTCAGAACCCCTTGATCCCCATGAAAGGGGAATGGAGAACAAGAAGATTCGAGGGTGACATTGCTCGCTAAACCAACTTCGGATGGAAAAATCGGACTAATCATCATGTTGATTTTTTGGGGAGTAAAATCACCATGTTGATTATAGTATACCACACATGCACGGTGCATCGCTGCCACAAGGCACACAATGTGTACAATCAAAGCCCACTTCGTCGAACAAAGTAGCTATATCTGCCAATGAGGCATAGAGCACATCTCCACAACCGATAAAATGCCAAGAATGGGATAGGGAGAACCCAAGCAGCTAGGGACACAAGCGTGCCATAGTAAATCCTAACCGGGCAGAACGAAGGACATAATCATCGCACGTTGCGTCTACCTAAGAGCCTTCCCACTGGCCATTGTTAGCCTCACCACGCCGCGGGGTGGGCCCACAGGGCACTAGGGTTCAAGAAGCATACAAATCATACCTATTAGTATAACGGTAATCTATCTAACTTTATTATATTTTTGACAGCTCTATAACAGCTTTTCACTACAGCATGATTTGCCAAACAGAGTAATGTACTTTTTTCACAACAGCTTTAAGCCTTCAGATATAAAGACGACATAAGCATCCACAAAACCCAGTGTAAATAGGAAACAATAAGATATTAGCTGAGAAGGTTCAACAGCATTTTCTTCAGAAGTTTGAGATCTTCCAATAATTGTCTGATATAACATTTTTGGTACTTGCTCCATAGGATATGCTGGATAAATTGGTTACATGAAACTGGCTATTTGATCGTAGTTTACTCTCTAGCATGATCAGCCTGACAAATATAGGTACATACTATGGCTTGACTAGCCATATACATGGACAACTTGCAAGTTGAAGTTTCGGTTGCATAGGCTGGAACCAAATTACAGCTGAAGCTGATCATGAAGAGACGTGAAGTAGTAACCCTCAGTGACGTTGAAAGAAGTCGACCATCGGTTCATATACGAGGCGTGGAGCATTATAGGCTATCACAAAGTCAGCATGAGCATAGTCGGGCAAGTATTGCACCTCGATGTTATCGGAGTCATGGTTTCTGACCAGTGTCTTCAGGAGGTGCCTGGTGTCAGGGACATCGCCGAGGAAGTCTTGGCCGCCATGCGTCAGGAGCATGGGGACATGGGTCGGAATGGATGAGAGGTTGTACAGCGGAGGGTGTGGCTGCTTGTAATGCTTCATGTTTTCCTTGGCGTTGCCATAGTCGTACCTTCTGACCCCTTCGCTCCTGACCACTGGTTGCATGCAAATCGGGATGAGAAAAGTTAACATCGTTCCTGAGCTTTGAACAAGCGAAAACTTAAGCTTCTGATTGCGATTCTTACTCTGCGACAGGTGAATAAGGTTTCTCATAGACGTAGGCTGTGGAGCATGCAGCATGAAGGCACATGTAGTTGATTTATTGAGGCAACAGTCCGGTCCTTCAACCGTCAGCAAATCACAGTTAGTAGGATACAAGGCCAACTTCAGCTGAACGTAAAATATTTTTTGGAATCTAGAAAATTTTATGAAAGGAAAAACCTGCAAGAGCAGAAAATACATCGTGGCAGTCAATTTTAGGGTCGCCACATACTTTGGCTAGAAGTTGAGCTGCAACTTTTCTGTCATGTAGCAGCACATTTGTAGCAGTCAATACTTGAGGCTGGAATCAGCACATTAGGAGCTGTGACTGGTTACCGGAATGGCAAGTCTAAAAACATGTGATTCTTACTTGTCAACATTGATATCACATTGAAATTCATACAGCGACAACCTCGTAGAAAATCTTAAACATGTGCACCTCTACTCATAATCAATAAGTTGCCGCAAGATGCAAAACCACAAGCACAAACTTGGTAATCAAGCGCACATACTGCCTTTTGTTCCTACTTAAACACATTAGCAGTCGTAGTAAAGGTACCTACCCAACAGGATTGAACTCATGAATACCTATACGGTAAACTGCCTGCGGAAGACAAAAAGGAAGAGATAAATCAGTCCCATATAGTTTACAAATGTGGTGATTTCCAATAAGCACTAGTAGCCTGAACAGTATTTTACTTCTGCCAGGAACATTTGAGCAGCAAGCCGGGTGAGATCGGATCTAGTTCTGCTCAGATAAGCAATTGGGCAGAGCAACACAGCTGATCGGACTAAGTGTAGTAACTTGTGCTCAGAGAAGGCTGCAAGAATAATCAAGGTTCCCTAGAAAGTAAAGCAAAAACTGCTTCAGTATACTTCTCAAGTCCCAAGTGTAAACCTATCAAAAAAAATTAAGAGGGGCATCTGAGCTCACCAGTGAGTGACCGATATAGTGGACTTTTTGACGTCCTGTGTGGTGATAAACAAACTCAAGCACGGCTGGAAGATCATATTCAGCAATTTGGTCCCACGACCAATCCCAGAAAGCCTAAAAATATTAGTCAATATACTATAGGTGAAAATCTAACGACATATGAGTTCTTTATTAGGTTTGAGACAAAAACCGGATCTTTTGGGGACAGCGATGTATGTTTGCGGCTGGTATTAGTTCCACGAGTGTTCGCTAGCCAAACATCAAACCCACCATCTGCCAAAATAAAGCCAAGTGATTGTTCTGGTGTACCCAGTAGCCAAGAAACGCCATCCTGTCAATCCAGACATTTGATTCAGCTATGCATAAATCTCAGAGGACCAAGATTTCTCAAACAACGCCCTTACCACAAAAAGCCCGTGGAATAGCAGTATTGGTTGCCTTGTCTTCTGATCCCTGGTTGAGTTATCAGTATCATGACCATGAGGAATCCTTTTTAAGCTAAGAATATATCCATCTTCAGTTGTGACCTGCCATAGATTTAGACAATATACTTCACAAGAGGGCAGCATTTTATCACGGAAGCATAAATTCAAATGCGAAAATGATGTCTAGGAATACATTAGCTCCAATACCTTGTGATCTTCACATGGATAGCCGTAAGCTTCTGCCTCTGACTTGCACATAGTAAATGGATGCGGAGAAACTGGACATGGTATACCAATATCATCCACTAAACTATTGTTCCTCCATGAGAGAGCTGTGCAGGGGTTAGAGTCAAGCAAAAGCATCAACAAACTCATTAGAAATAAACTCGTAGCCATCGAATTATGTAGAATCATATGTTTCTATTGTTCTGATAGTTTCCGTGAATAGTGAAATTTTCTGCAGGGGTGCAAAGGATAGTGTTAATACAAAGTGCAGTCTCTCTTTTCAGAGAACAGTGATGCTTTGCGTGGCTGGTGTACAGGTATAAATACCAGACAAATGGTCTCTTAACAAGACGCCGTTGCTATTCTTCAACACTAATGTAACAAAAATTACCAAAAAGAGTGCTTTGGATTTCTCTCTCTGTTGGTAGGAAATAGTTCTTGCTCGACAGAAGCATGAACATGCTGCATTATTACAGGAGAAAAACCTGTGACCTTATTATATGCGAAAGTGTATGATTGCACGAGCATATACTAACTAAGTAAAACAGAAGGATGACTGACGTAAATCAGTCATGCCATCTTGATGATCAGAAATGAAGGCCCTATGGTTCACTTCACACCAAATCTGTGTCCCCAAAGTCCGCCTAACCACCAGGAAAGGAATGCCTGAGAAGAACAGACAACCTTCATTAAGAAGTATCTGGACGCACTTGTATTTAATATATTTATAAGCAGCAAAACATGTGGTTCACATCAGCCGAGAGGGTGATCCATGTCATTCAAATACACCGGATTCATCAAGAAAAGCACAAGAATGTCATGCTGCTTGTTGCCACAAATTTACCACGTTACACCTTTTAGCGGAAGGGTCAAAAGATCTGGTTGCGCTTATCTGAAATTCTTAAATGATCAGTTCAAACAAATTACAGAGCCAAAGCAATTCAAAATTTAGCATTCTGAAGGTAAGGGTCGCGATTAGTATGCAAATACGAAAGGCACAGGATTACTACGAAGTAGGATGACTGCCTGTCAACAGCAAAAAGAACTCAGTTTTATGCTTTTCTAAACTAAAAGCAGAAACTACCGTACAATTGAGGAAGACAAAACTGATGTATGATTTTCTAACCTCAGCAGCAATGAACACACAATTGCGGCAGACAGGCCTGGGCATCACAATCGAGACTATTTCCCTCTTCGCACAAGAGAACATCTATCATCAAGGCCTCAAAAATCAAACCGGACAGCTGATTTCAGGATATCAGTGACGTATCGTTCTCATATATTCATCATCTACAGAGAATGGCCATCACGAGAGCGATTCAATTTGCTTCTGAGAATAAAGAAGTTCTACTGACAAGCGCGCTTGTGCCCGCAGTCTGAAGAAGCATTTGGCCGAACACATGGCGCGCGTCTGCGTCGGAGTCGAGTAGGACGTCTCGCCAGCTCCCTCCAACTCCAGTATTGCTTCCCTGCCCTGCGCGGGAGGTGTTCGCCTGTGTGGTGGGTGCCGGTTGACGGCTTGCTGCCTGTGCTGTGCTGAGCACGAGGTCGGCCTTGGTCGCTGACGCCAATGCGCAGGCGGCAAAAGCCGGGCAGCGCCAGGTCTCGCTTGCTCTCGCGTCTGGCGGCTCCCTAAATGGACTGGTCGTGCGGGAGGCCACAGCCTCGTTTTTGTTTTTGTTTTTCATGTTTTTTGTTCGTTTTTTTCTTTTTTCTTACTTTCGTTTATAGTTCCAAATATTCTTAATAAATATATTACAAAAAAACTTAACATAAAACATTTGAAAAAACTACCAAGCATTTAAAAAAATGTGTATAAACAAAATGCTTATCGTGTGTATGAAAAATGTATACAAAAACTGTACAATATGTATAAAAATGTTGATCATGTATTTAAAAAATATTAATCAAGCATTTGAAAAAAATTAAAAAATTATTTTAAATTTTAATCAAGCATTTCAAAAATATTAAATGTGTATAGAGAAAAATGTTAACCATGTATTAAAAAATGTCAACCTTATATTTAAAAATGTTAAATGTGTATAGAAAAAATATTGACAATGTATTAAAAATGTTAAACTTATATTTGAAATATGTTAATCAAGCATTTGAAGCTCTTAAAATCATAAAGAAAAAATCTTGATTATGTACTAAAAACATATTAATCTTGTATTTGAAAAATGTTTTAAATGTGTATAGAAAATATGTTGACCATGTTTTAAAAATGCCAAACTTGTATTTGAAAAATGTTAATCAAGCATTTGAAGTTTTTTAAATGTGTATAGAAAAAAAATGTTAACCATGTATTAAAAAATATCAAACTTGTATTTGAAAATGTTAAATGTGTATAGAACAATGTTGACAATGTATTAAAAATGTTAAACTTGTATTTGAAATATGTTTATCAAGCATTTGAAATTGTTAAAATCATATAGAAAAAATCTTAACCATATACCAAAAACATGTTAATCTTGTATTTGAAAAATGTTAATCGAGCATTTGAAAAATGTTTTAAATGTCTATAGGAAAAACGTTGACCAAGTTTTTAAAATGCTAAACCTGTATTTGAAAAATATTAATCTAGCATTTGAAAACTGTTAAATGTGTATATAATTTTTTTGACCAAGTATTCAAATAATGTAAACTTGTATTTGAAAAAATGTTAGTTAAGCATTTGAAAATTTTAAATGTGTATAGAAAAAATGTTGACCATGTATTCAAAAAATATTAAATATGTATAAAAAATGTTGACCATGCATTCAATTTTTTTGATCTTTTATTTGAAAAACCTTAAACTTGTATTAGAAAAATGTACTAGATATATGTACCAAAAATGTGTATAAAAACAGTGAAAACAAAGAGAAAATACCCAATAAAAATGAGAAAGAAGAAACATAACAGAAGAAAAAACGGTGAAAACCAAAAAGCTGAAGGAAGAAAAAGAAACGCCTCGGAAACAAGGAAAAAGGGAACCCCAAAGAAAACCGGGAAAGTCCATGAGGAAACAAAGAAAAATAGAAAAGAAAACAAGAAATCCGTAAAAACCAGCGCAAAACAAATAAATAAATAAATAACAAGAAAACCCGAAGAAAATTATATAAAAAATAGAAGAAAAGAAGAAGAAAATGAAAAAAATAGTGAAAACCAAGAAATAAATGAAGAAAATCAATGGAAAACAGAGAAAACAAAAAATCAAAGAAAAGCATAAAGAAGCAAAAAAACCAGTAAAAACCGGGTTAAAAACATAATTGAAAAGCAAGAAAATAGAAAACCGGTAAAAAATGAAAAAAAAAACAGACCAAACAAACGAGCGAGTAGGGACAGATCGATCCGAGCAAGGCAGTAGGAGAAGGAAAAGAGCCGCCCGATCCATACGGCAGAGCAAAGTTCCTTCAGGCAAGAGACAGCAGCCATCATATTGCTATGAAAGAATTTCTTATTTAACACTACTTTAAATTTTGTTTCCTTATTTGACACTGAAAACATTTTTCTTTCCTATATAACAACAAGTCTAAATTTTATGTCCTTTATGATACTTTCGTCTATTTTGAGCATAAAAGACATTTGAAAAGATCCTTTTGCCCCTCATGTAATATGTGCGTGTGCGGGACAATAGCAAACACAACATCAGTACGGGGCAGTATCGCGCACACACACGCAGTAGCACATACACGCACAACAACACACACGCATGCGCGCACACACAACAGCACACAGTGGAGAAGCCACATTATACGTGTAGTGGCTTGACTACACAGGATTTTGGTACGTCGTTCCCGCATACCACGCTAGTGAACGAACGAAAATTGGAATTTGACTACACAGGCTCATGCATCATCTTTTTTTTTAGAAAAGGCTCATGCATCATCTGTTATTCTGCTTGTAATTAGTTGGGCCACGGGGCCATACAGTAAGAAGAAGGCCTAAATCACGTGATCTCCTACATGCCTTTCCAATGGCCGGGTACAACCGCCGCACCGCAGCGTATTCCCATCCTTTGGCCAGTGCTGGCGATCTCCAATCTGGCCTCTAATCTGGCCGTGAGATGTGAGGCACGACCATCTCCGGCCGTCCGGCGAGCCGCTGAGTGACCACCGCAAGCAGATGCACGCACGCAGCACACACAGCAGCACAATGTACGTGGCAGCACACATCGAGCAGCACACGCAACAACACACACGCGTGCGCGCACACAGCAGCACGGGCGTGCACACACGCACGCACCCACAAACACGCAGCAACACATGCACGCACACGCGCACATCAGTAGCACAAATGTGCGCACGCGCACGGCAGCACGCACCCGCTCACGCACAAACATATTACATGAGGGGCAAAATGGTCTTTTTAGAAGCCATTTAAACTAAAAATGGATAGAAGTGTTATAAAAGGCATAAAATTTAGACTTCTTGCTAGATAGGGAAAAAATTATTTATCGATGTCAAATAAGACATAAAATTTAAGCACGGTGTTAAATAAGGAATTCTCTCTATTGCTATAAGCGCGACATAGCTCTCACGTTGTATCGCCCGTAGCGAGACCGAACTAAATTGGCCGGCCAAGTCAAAAGTTAATTGCATGTAGCTTCATTAAAAAATATAAGTTTATTTGTTTCTTTTTATATATTCCGAATATTTGTCTCAAAAAATATATATTTCGATTTTTTATAATATTTCAAAAAATCTTAAAATATAGTCCCTCCATTCCAAAATGAGTGTAATAGTTTTAGTTAATATGTTTTACAAAAGTTACTTAGTCAGTTTTAACAAATATACACCACACGTTATAAAATGTTTATACAATGTAATAAAATATTTGGGAAACTTTTAAAAATGTTTATTGCCTTCAAAGAAATCTTGATATTCCAAAAATCTTCACGCATTTCAGTCATAATGTTAATGATATTCTATAAAATGTATGTGATATATTTTAGAAAATCATACCATTTTAAAAAGTTGATGTAATTTAAATCATGCTAGAGCATTTAACAGAAGTATGTTTGTGACATTTAAGAAAATGTTTGTGCAATCTAAAAAGGTATTTGTGCAATTTTAAAAAAATGCGTTGTACCATTCAAAGAAATGATTGTGACATGTCGTAAAAATATCCACGCATTTCAAAAATATGTTTGTGACATTTAGAAAAAAATCTGTGTGCAATGAAAAAATATATTGACATAATTTCGAAGA